TGCTGGGGCGCTCACTGTGTGTTATTCGGGTGGGGATCCATCAGTGGTAAGCGGCTTTAGTCACAGATCCAAGCTCAGACGTTAACTTTGGGCCTAACAGTTGCACTATTGTTGGCTGAAATCCTCAACGTTGTTCAAGTGTTCTCCCCAGCCCAAGCTGTTACTGTTTGTTACTGTTGTTACTGTTGTTCAGTGGTCAGCAAGCAGAAAATGCCAAAAAACCCGGGTAAAACCCGAAAAAACCTGGGTTTTCCCGGGTATTTTCGGGTTTTACCCGCACTGGACACTAGAGATCGTCGTGGGTCACTGCCAGGCCTTCCTTATTGTTGTTCAGCCGGCCTAACGTTAGCTACGGTTGTTGGGGAGCCCCACTGTTGTTCTGTTGTTACTGTTAACACTAGCAACACTGTTCAGCTCTTAACGTTTGACAACCCTAGCGGGGTCTCCCCGAGAGGAGGGTTGGTCTGGCGTCTGGGTCTGCCCGCTTTGAGGGTTTCCCCTTACGTAGGGTGCCCACAGGACCCAAAAAAAGAAAGGAAAAAAGAAATAGGCCACCCCCGATCGCAGCACCTCGTGTTGGAGAGTCGAGATATTGAGAGTGTGACTAGGAGGGTGGGACGCTGGGGATTCTCAAAGGTATACCCTTGGAATGGCCGGATCCAGCCTTAAAAGTACGAGATCGCGCGCGCTTCACGCACAGCACCGCCTGTTCTCCGCGGCTGTGTGACGACGCGTGCCGTGTACCAGCAGAGTTGGGCGCGCGCAGCGCGACGGCGCCCGCGAGGGAAGGCGCGGGTGCAGCGGCCGCCGGCGGCCGTACCGCCCGCCAGCCGGCGCAGCAGCGGCCAGCGCAGCGGCCGCCGGCGCAGCAGCCAGACCAGCCGGTGCGCGCCTTGCGAGGCGAGTACTGCCGCCCGGCAGCCTTGAGGCGGCCGGGCGGCAGTACTCGTTCGAACTTTGCGAGCCGTGCGCGCGCCGAGGCGCCCGCGGCGCGCGCCCGCCCGGCTGCCAGTAGGAGGCGGCGCAATATGGCCTATAGTACAGCCCTTAGGAGGAGGAAGAGGCTGGCTGGCAGTGCTGTATGCCGCCGAGGGGCAGTTTTGGGGTGCTGTCACGGGCCCAGGGGGCTGCAGAAGGCGTCCGCAGCCGGGACAACCCGCCCCCCCAGCCGAGGCCGGTCGAAGCCCACACTTGACCACAGCCATGAGGAGTCCTCTTGGTGCTCCTGGCGGCCGTTGGAATGGCGAGCGCGCGCCGATGGGGGGGGGGGGTCTGCTTGCTCCACACCGAGCGCCGTCGGTCCGGACCGGCATGGTCACCGAGGGGTGGCCTGCACAAGGTCTGAGCCGCGGGCGCTCGGCGCCAAGTGCAGTGTCACGCTCGTGCTCGCGCGTGACAAACCGGGGAACCCTCTTTTCCTAGGCACTCGGTCCCCCCACGGAAGAGGCCTCGCTCCTATTGGAACACTCCAACATCAGATTTGGCTCGTGCGTCCCTTTTTGAGGCGGAAAGCTATTTTCTTTTGGGTCCTGTGGGCACCCTACCTTACGTTAGCGGCGGAGCGCCCCCTCTATGGTAGAGCCTCTACTCGGTCTCGGGCACCGCACCCGTGCTGCCACAAAGCACAATGTGCTGCCACAAAGCACCACTAGTGATTTCGCGCGGAGGGCGTAGACCGTAGTGAAGTGCTGGGGCGCTCACTCTGTGTGTTATTCGGGTGGAGTTTTTTTGATTTCTGGGTCAGTGGGCGCCCGCCCGCCGCCTCTGAGGGGGTCGGGCCCCCTAGACTGAAAACAAAAACAAAATGTAGAACCGTCAAAGCGCGCCGCCTACGGTACCTCGTCGGCGGGTCGTGAGTGACCCCCACGACCACGGCATCCAAAAAATGGAAAAGTAGACCATGTCGGATGGGCACGAAACCCCGCGCAGCGCCGGCTTTGAGCCACGCGCCTCGATCTTCAGAGGCGCGTGCGCTGCCCCTTCCGGCAAGGACGACGACATCGAGGATATGTCCATTGTTGCGCGATGGCGTCATCCATTTCGTCAGCTTCATCGTCGTAACATCGTGACCGTCGCCACCCTCGCCGCCGTCTCGCCTACGTCGCCGCCGTCGCTATCAGGCCCATTCATGATGCAGGCCCAGCCCACACCCCTGGCTCCTATGCCGACGTGTCTCGTGTGCTCCCCCGTCCGCCGATGTCTCTGCTGCCGCCCGGCGGTCCGGGCCCTTCTCGCCGCCTTCGCTGCCGCTGCATCGCTGTCGGCTCGTCATTTCTGTCTACGGTCATATGGGGGCGCCATCGCTGTTCTCGTTCTCTCTCCTGGGGTCAGCTCCAAGCTGCCGTGTCGGGACGTCCCCCCCCCCCCCCCTCTCAGCTTCTCCCATCTCCGCTGAACTGCATGCTGCGCGATTCTCGCCCCTTGTCCCAGGAGCCAGGTGCGTGTGTCTAATCGTAGTGGGGGCCCTGGCCCCCCTCTGTTTTCTGTTTTCTGTTTTTCAAAACGCCCGCCCGCCCGCCACCCCGAGGCGGCTCGGCCCCCCACTGACCCAGAGATCAAAAACGCTCGGCCTGGGGATCCATCAGTGGTAAGCGGCTTTAGTCACAGATCCAAGCTCAGACGTCACACCAACACCACAAACACGCTCACTTCTCTGGGCCGGCGCGGGGCCCCCAGAGGGTGTCCATGCGGGGGGGAGATGGGTTCCCACGGCCCGCCGCAGGCGCCGATTTTTTCGGGATTTTTTCTTTTTTTCGCGATTTTTACTTGTTTTCATGGGAATTCTGCGTACTTGCGGCCATGCTATCACGCCTTGCGACAGCCTGTCGGCGCTGCTGACCGTGCCATGATGCACAATTGATCACCTGCATAGCTCGCGGCCTTAGTATCAAGCATTCAGTGACGACCTGATTCTACGACCAGTAGGAAGGTGTCCTTCCATCGTGTGCACGCTTCTGGCGCAATGCGCGTCGCCTCGGATTGGCTGCTGGCACTCTCGAGGCTATGCCTACACAGCCTCGCGCGCATGGGCAGTCAGGAGGGACCACGCACCTTCACAGGACAGCGCCGGTGCCTCTCTCTTGGACTGGCAAACTTGGTGGTCTCGTGTCACCAATGTGGGACCAGTGCGGCATCGCGCCATCGACAGCTCTGAACTGCGCCTCACCACTGACCGGGAAGGCCGCCAAGTGGGCCAGCACAGGTCGCATATTGTGGCAGCAGTCAGCAGTGCATGTCTGATAGCTAGAGCTGCAGCGTCAGGGTCGCAGGGTCGGATCGTGTCAAGCCTCTCGCCCGGCCGGCCGCGTGCAGACGTCGCGCTGTCTGCTGTCTGGAGTGATCTGTCGGCGGTCAGTACGACCGATCAGGTCGGAGTTTTCTTATGGTTAGAGGGTCTATCTGTATGTACTCCTCGAGATCTCTCCAAATCTGCCCTCTGTTAGACCGGGTTAGATCGGGAAGTTGGTGCTAGTAGAGACTAGTAGAGCCGGAGCCCCGTTTCCGCACTGCGGCGCGGCGCACGGTGCCTCCGGGGGCCCCCGCGCCGGCCCAGAGGCTCACTTCGCCGCTGCTGTAGATGCTTGGGCCTCCGGGGGCCCATGCTACGTCGAAGCACAGACCCGATCTCGGCACTCACGGGCTGCCACGCGCCCGCGCGCGGCGCGGGCCGCACCGCCCATGCCCCCGGGTCACCAACCCCGCCTCTCGGCCCTCTCGGCCCTCAGGAGCGTGCGGGAGACCGGCGAGGGGCGCGCCGCGCGCCGCCTGCAGCGCCGCCAGAGGCATTGTCGCCTCCGCTGGCGGGGTTCCCGCGCGCCCGCCCGCGCCCGCGCCCGCCCACGCCGCGCCCGCGGGCTCCGGATGCGCCGCCCTCCTTCTCCTTCTTCTCGATGGCAGTCCACGCGTGCTTGTCGACGGGTCGGCGGCGTGGTCGAGGGGAAGGTCGCCGGCGGCCGCAACTCTGCCGCCGTCGCTCCGCCGGCTCTGATCGAGTATCGGGCGTTGAGGGCGGCGGCGCAAAGCGAGTCTGGCGCATCCATCGCCACGAGCCTCGCGACTGCGGTCGTGGCACACCTGGTGGCGGCTCTCGGGGCCGTCTCTACGGCGCTCGACACCGTATGAGGTCGCGGCGGCCGCACCTTTGCCGCCGTCGCTCCGCCGGCTCTAACCGAGTATATCGGGCGTTGAGGGCGGCGGCGCAAAGCGGGTCTGGTGCGCCACACGGCCACAACCCTTGCCACCGCCCTTGGCCTTGCCGCCGCCCTTGCCACCCTTTGCCGCCTTGCCTCCGCCGCGGGCGGCTCGACCGCACTCAGTCACCGCCCCCCCAGGGGCAGGCAAGCTCATTCACAACCCGGAGCTAAGAACACCAGACACGGACCGCCGGCCCTCTCCACCACCCTCGCCCTGGGATCTACAATGCTGTCCGACCGGAGAGAGAGAGAGATGTTGTGTTTGTCTGACCGGTGGGCACTGCCTGCGCTCGGCACCAGGGCACCGCCTCGGAGCTCGGTAAAAATGCGCCTGCGGGCGGACCCTCACAGATCACAGATCACACCAGCACACGACGTACACACTCGATGTCGCCTCCCGGGAGTTTTTTTTTGCTTTGAGCTTCTCACGGCGCGGGCGACAGCGAGGCGCGAGACTCACCCGGGGGCGTGCCGTACCAGCGTTGCTTTGTGGACATGGTCCAGCAGCACAAGCAGCGAAAGGCCACACTCGCCGTTGTCAGATCCACGGACAAACTCGGGCTGGCCCTCGCTGTCGCTGCCGCTGCAGCGTACTACCTCGGAGCCAGGTCGAGAGGAGACGAGCACGGGCGGGAAGAGACCATGATGGCCATGAGAGTCGTGGGCCGAGAGACGCCGAAGAGCACGCTCGGGCAGGAGAAGCCTGTGGCTGAGAAGGAGGGGTGAGACCATTGTGGAGTAAAGTCCGTTTAGCTTAGGTAAAGTCCGTTTAGGAGGTAAAGTGTCACACTTTACCTGTGTGTGTGTACAACGCTTACGCCCGTCCGTCTGTATGATCAACTCCCCAGCACCCCACACGCACATCGCACACACCCAACACGAGCACGTGCACCTAGCACGGAGACGGAGTTCTTCCACCCGGGCGCTCGGCGCACCGCTGAGGGAGGGACGGAGGGTCTCGGCCGCGGCGCGCAAATCGCGGCCGGTGCCAGCAAGCGGCCGGTGCTCTATCGGCCCGCGCCTCACGCGGTTGCGGCGGCGGCGGCGGGCGTGGCGAACTCGTCGACAAAAGAGCGGTGGAAGGCGGCGATGGCGGAGGTGACCTGCTCGAGCTGGTCGGCGGGAGGGAGGAAGGTGGTGCGCACGTGGTACGCCTCGGGGTCGGGCTGGCCGAAGCCCGACCCAGGCACCACCACCAGACCCGTCGCGTCGAGCAGCCGCATCGCGTAGAGCTCGTCCGGCGCGACGCCCGCCTCGCGCGCCGCGGCGACCGCCGCCGGCGGGAGGGCGATGCGAGGGAAGAGGTAGAGCGCGCCCTCAGCAGGCGCGCAAGTGACGCCGGGCAGCGCGTCAAGCGCGGCGGCGAGCGTGTCTGCGCGTGCGCGGAGCGACTCGAGGATGGCGCCTCTCTCTGCGGCGAACGTGTCGTGGGAGGGCATGCCTACCACACCACCCACGGGACTGAACCCACACTGGGTTCGGTACTCTGGAGGTATGATGGGAGGGCATGCCGGGCCGGGGCGGCGAGACGACCAAACCCATGGCCAGCTGGCCGACGACGTTCGAGCAGAGGCAGATGGAGGCGAGCTTGACGAGCTGCGACCTAGGAAAGGTCCAGGAAAGGTCCAGGAAAGGTCCAGGAAAGGTCCAGGAGAGCTTGACGAGCTGCGACCGCACGCCGTCGTCCCAGTTGCCATCGAGGGCGAAGAAGCCGCCGCGCAGCCCGCACTCGCCATAGAAGCCCTTCGAGGTGGAGTGCATCGAGACGAGCTGCGCTCTCGCAGCCAGCTGCGGCTTCGTCTGCCGCAGCAGCGCGAGCGCGCGCCGGAAGGAGTGGAAGTCGTTCCGCCGCTTGCCGGTGCGCGCGGGTCCGCCGTTGTAGACATTCGCCTGGTAGACCTAGGGTTAGGGTTAGGGTTAGGGTTAGGGTTAGGGTTAGGGTTAGGGTTAGGGTTAGCGTTAGCGTTAGGGTCAGGTTTAGGGTTAGTCTGGTAGACCTCGTCTGCGAGCAGAACGAGCCCTTCCCGCGCCGCAAACTCGAGCACGGCTGCAACCTCCTCCGCGCTCATGCACTGGCCAGTCGGGTTGCCGGGGTTGATCACGACGAGCGCGCGCACGTTCGACCCCCTGTGGGGAGAGAGGGGGAGAAAATCGCGCACCACGCGTCGTCCAGCGAGACATGGGGAGGTATGGGGAGGTATGGGGAGGTATGGGGAGGTATGGGGAGGTATGGGGAGGTATGGGGAGGTATGGGGAGATATGGGGAGATCGCGCACCTCGCGCGCGCGAGCTGCAGCGATGCCTCGAGGTTGGACACTCTGATGCCCCACGTGCCGGCGGCGTCTTCGGTGAGCGGGTAGAGCGCGGCGCCGCCTGTGAGAGCACGTCCTCGACACGTCCTGGACACGTCCTGGACACGCCCTCGGTGGGCGGAGCGCGGCGCCGTCGAGCAGCGTCGAGAGGGCAGAGTAGAGAGGGTAGACGGGAGAGGGCGCCAGGATCGCGTCGACACCCGGCTGGCCGAGTAGCGCCTGGGGACGTGCCAGGGAGGAAGAGGTACCAGGGACACGCGCATGGACACGGGATTAGGTGAGGGTAAGGCCTCGGTCCGGGTGAGGTGGGAGGATGGTGCAGGTCAAGGTGTGTAGGATGTGACGGGGAGGTGATCAAGTGGGCGAGTCTCCACGACTTGGGCGGCGCCTGAAGCAGCGCGCGCACGCCCGCCGACGCGCCATCCGTGAGGAAGACGTCGCGCGCCTGGGAGGCAGGTCCGGGTGCAACGGGTGCGACCCCTCACGCACTCTTCACACCAGGGCTCTCACAGAATAAAGTATTCACGGGGGCGACTATAGTGTCGTCCGTGGGGCAGGTGCGAGGGGGCAGGCGCGGCCCACGCAGGTGACGGACGCAGCACCCTCCTCCTGCAGAGGTGCTGAGCAGGGCTGCCCGACGGCAGTGCCGGAGGGTGCAGAGGTGCATATACAGCTCTGGCCGCGCGCCTCGGAGCCGCAGCCGTCCCGCTCGCGGAGGAAGTGCGCAACCTCCTCGCGCACGCATAGCACGCCCTGCGAGTCGGAGTACGCGCCCGCCGACGAGATGGCGTCCACGTACACCCTCGCCCGCGCCACCGCGTCTGGCGGGAAGAGCGCCCGCAGCGCCTCGCCGTCACTGCTGCCGCATGCCGCCGCCTCGGCCGCCTCGAGTAGGTCGGCGTTGAGAACGAGGGAGAGGACCTGTCTCACCCACGAGAGCGGCCTCTGGCCCAGCGCCTGCGGATTCCCGATGTTGCACTTGACCGTCCGCCTCCCCACCGACTCGAGCTCTTTGGCCCGGTCGAGCAGCCTGCCCCGCACGGCGTACTCCGCTGCGACCAGCCGCGGATTGATGTTCTCGGGGGTGAGAGGCGGCTCGGCTGGTGCGGAGAGCACCGAGGCGTGCGCACTGGCGAGGCAGAGGATCGCACAGACCATGGTACACGGCTGGTCGGCTTTTTTGATTCTTTTTTGCTGGCCCGCCTATCCCTGCTACACCTCCTGATCCTGAAGCCTTCACCGGCTGAACCCTCGGCCGGCCCGCCTATAAGCAAAACCCTCGCCGGCCCCCCTAAGCAAAACCAGGCTCAATTGGCGCGCACTGTGTTAACACACTCTCATCACAGACCACACAGCTATCGGCGTTACGCGTTAAAGAACTATCCGATATGCCCGCTCCGCCCACCGCGGCTCCGGCTCAGACTCACGGATCAAAACTCACTCCAGTACCATCTGCTGCAGCCGACGCGTGAGCAGGGTCTGCTCGTTGGCCGCTGCCATCAGCCGCGCCATCGCCTCGGCCCGCCCGGCGCCTGAGGGGGAGGGGTCCGCTTGGGCCTCGAGCGCCTCGCTGAAGGAGTGGGTCGCCTCTTCGAGCCGCTGGAGGAGCTCTCCCCTCGTCGCGTGCTGTGCGAGGTCGAGGTCAGCCGAGGCGGACGACGAGGCGGCGGACGAGGCGGAGCCGCATGACCCGCCGGTGCTGCCGGTGCTGCCGGAGGGTGGAGGGAGGGAGGGAGGGAGGGGGGGGGGGGGGGGGGACTCCTGAACAGGAGGCGCGGGGACCCCTCGGGGGGGGGGGGACCTCGGTAGGGCACGGGATGGGCTTCCAAAGGGGAGGGCGGGGCGTCCCCACCTGCCTCGGGGGCGCGTCCCGTCGTCGTCCCCGCCGACGCCGCCGCCGCCGTCAAGGGGGGCGCCGCTCTTTGACGAAAGGCGTACCGGCGGCTTGCCGCCGCTTCCGTGGCCGAGAGACAGGCCCTGCGGGCGGGGGTCGGACGCGCCGCCCGCCGGCGGCGGCAGGATCTCCGACCCGCGTACCAGGAGCCCGTGGCGGGGCGGGCACCGGAAGTAGCGCCGGCCGCGCAGCGCCCCGTCGTGCCTCCCCGCGGGCAGAGCAAGGCACACTCCAAACCACTCGCCGGGCGCGAGGTCAGTCCGTCCGCGCCACACAATCGTGCCGGCGTGCCCGCGAGGCTGCAGCAACCCGGAGCCTCGGCGGAGGCCGTCATGGCCGCGCGGGAGCAGCGCCACGGCGTCGCCCACTGTCGCCTCGTCCAGAAAGGCGCGTAGCCGCCGCAGCCGCAGCCGCGCCACGCAGCCGCGGGCGAGAGCCTGCGGGGGAGGGGTCTGGGAAGGGTCCGGGAAGGGTCTGGGAAGGGTCCGGGAAGGGTCCGGGAAGGGTCCGGGAAGGGTCCGGGAAGGGTCCGGGAAATTCCGGGAAGGATGCACGGCAATCGCCTGGATCTCGGCTGTGTCTCGGCTGTGCCGGGGTGCAATCCTGCATCTCGGGCCTTCTTCGGCCAGCGTATCTCGGCTACACCTCGGCTGCACCCCGGCTGCACCTCGGCTGCACCCCGGCTGCACCTCGGCTGCACCTCGGCTGCACCTCCGCTGCACCTCGGCTGCACCTCGGCTGCACCTCCGCTGCACCTCCGCTGCACCTCGGCTGCACCTCGGCTGCACCTCGGCTGCACCTCGGCTGCATCTCGGCTGCATCTCGGCTACATCTCGCCTGCACGAGCTCGAGTTGTGCGGCGGGCGGCGGCGGCGGCGGCGGCGGGAGGAGGGGCGGGCCGAGCGGCGCCGAGCGCTCTGCAGCGGTGGTGCGCAGCCCGATCTGGACGCGATGTGGCAGCTTGGCGAGCCGCTGTGCGCCGACGCGGGGGCACCGCTCGGTGAGGGCGAGGTATGCGTGGCGGCAGAGCTCGAGGCTGGGGCAGCGCGCGTCGGTGAGGAGCGACTCGAGCTCCGTGGCCACCGCCGGCGCGCGCCGCTTGACAAGTGCGTCTGCCGCGAGCTCATGGTGGAGGCGGTCCGCCGCCGCGGCGGGCTGGCGCGACAGTACGAGGAGGAGCGTCTCGAGCCGGCGGCGAGTCGCGGCCTGGTTGGCGGAGGCGAGTGTGCGGCCCGGGTGCAGCGCCACCGCCACGGCGGCCGCGCGAGGCAGCAGCATCAGGCAGTCGAGCGCGCAGCAGTGGCACACGTCTGCAAACGGCGACGCCCCGCCAAAGGACGTCGCCTGGTCGAGCACGGGCGGGAGCAGGTCGATCGCGAGCGCATCGCCCTCGGCGTCGCCGCGCCGCACGCCCGCGAGCACCACCGCGCACGCCGCCCCCACCACACCCGGCCGGCCGCACAGCAGCGCCGGCCGAGTCGCCGCCGTGAGCGCGGGCTGCGCCGCCCGCAGCTCCGCCGCAGACGACTCGCTGATGAGCCGCGGCAGCGATGCGAGCGACGTCTCCCACGACGACGCGCCGCCGCCGCCGAGCGCCGCGCTGCTGCCCCCGCCGAGCGCCTTGAGCGCGCTGCCGGCGGCGGCGCGCAGGTCTGGCATCGAGTTTCCACAGGCTGCTGCACGGTTCGACGTGTAGGAATCAGATACAACTGTATCAAACAGTAGGGCCCTGAGGGGCCTAGAGAACACAACCCCCTCTCTCTTTTCTCCCAGTAAGCTAAAAGTACGTACACAGGACAACATACAGTGGGTTGCGGGCATTAAGAAAACGTGGCATAAGAAACCCTACCAACCGATTTCCGCAAAAATCTAAGAAACCACGGCGCGCCGCAGGCGCGGCCCCGAGAAAAGGCCAGATACGAGTGTGAACGGGAGGGAGCCCCAGCTGCAGCTCAAAATTTCTCTTCGCCTGCGGCGCGCGCACTTGTCACTTTTCAAGTCTGCGGTGTTCTGTGTGGAGTGGATGGAGGCGTGTGTGCGTCTTCCCGTCACATCCAGAGAGCCGACTCGGCGGCAGACTCTGGCATCGCCCTCGCGGACCGCAGCTTTCCTCTCACCTACTCGAGTAAAACTCCTTCCTTCGGTCGGGCCGGCTCTGGCTTGAGTGCCGGCCGGAGCTAAGAAACCACGGCGTGGGGTGGATGAGGGCTGTGGAAAGGATTAGAAACGGCGGCGATCCGCGGCATCCTGTTTTCTTAATGCCCGCAACCCACTGTACACAGGAGTTGGCCTTTCCGAGGGTTTCCGGCAACCCAGAGGGAAACCAGCCTAGGGTCCCCAGCACTTTGCGTTTCCGGAAGTTTCCAGGGAAACCAGAGGGTGTTTGGTGCTCCATTCTGTTTCTCTCGAGTTTCCCTCGGGAAACTCGCGAGTTTCCCTGAGTCTGAAAAAACAAATAAAAATCTCTCTCTCAGTCTGAGAGCTGGTCTGGGGCAAAATCTGGGGCAAAATTGAGGAAATCGGCACGATACCCAGGTATTTTCCAGGTATACCGGGGTTTTCCAGCCGTTGTCGTGCCACCCGATTATTCTCTTTTTTTGAGCGCTCGTCGGCGAAGTTCAATTCGACCAGCACTGCCCCTTCGCCTGCCACCTCTCCCTCTCCCTCTCCCCTCCGACGCATCGTCATGCCGGCCGCCGTAGTCCTGTATGCCAACCCTGCCATCACCCGCTGCGCCGGCCCGGTAATCCTCGACCGCAAGCCGCTTCGTCGCTACGCAGCGCTCCTCGACGGACCCAACAGGGGTCTCAAGCCCGGCGCGAGCGACGCAGTCGCCGCCGCCACGGCTCGCCAGATCCCGCAATTCTGCGAGACGATGGACCTCCAAGCACCGAGCCCGAGGCGGACCGTGCCCAGAGCAGCGCCGAGGCTTCCCGGCGACGACTTGCATGGCCTCTCCTCCCGATTCTCAGCGCTGCGCCACAGGATCGAGCGGTCGGTCGGCGCGGCAGCGCCAAGGGCCTGTGCCGACGAGGCCGAGGCCGCCCCTTCGCCGGGCAGACCCGGCGTCGGCGTCGGCGGCGGCGGCGAGGCGGGCGACAGAGGCGCGAATGAGGCGGCGGTCGGCCTCGGGCAGCTCCAGTTGAGGCCGCTGGAGCTGCATGAGAAGCAGACCGCGGCATCGGCGCTGCGGCTGCGGCCCGCGCTCCTACGACGAAGGGGCGCCTCGTCCGCAGCGCGCCGCCCCGCGCCCGCGCCGCGCCGCAGCGCGCAGTCCGCGCCGCTACGGCAGCCGAGGTGGCAGTACTCCTCTCGGCAGGCTGCGTTGCCGGCGGACCCGCACGAGCCGTTGGTCTGGGCTCCGGTCGCAGCGGCTGGTGCCTCTGCCGCCGCCGAGGCGGAGCCGCGGCAGAGTCGGCGTCCGCTGGAGGAGGGGCAGGGCGAGCAGGAGGGCGAGAGGCGGCGGCGGCGGCAGCGCGGCGCGCCCCTCGCCCATCGACCCGGCTGGAGGCCGTGGGCGTCCGGCTTCAAGTGCCCTCTCTCCGTCCACGGGGAAGGGGCGGCCGCTCTGCTCACCAAGGCAACCGCTCGGTCTGCAGCCCACCCCGCCGCGGGCGGCGCCGCGCGGAGGCTGCACTACACGGCACCCGAGCGGCCTGCAGTGCTGCTCGAGGTGAGGCGACTCCGCTGCGCCCTCCCTGCCGCGCGCGCGAGTGCCCCGCACCCGCACTCGCACCGGCGCCCCAGCCGCCCGCGCCCTTCCTGCCCGCAGCCGCGCCCGCAACACCGAGCGCGCTCCGCCGGCGCGCAGTCGCCGCGAGGGGAGAGGAGGCCGCGCGGGCGCCGTGAGGGGAGAGAAGTCGCCGCGCCGCCTCGTCCGCAGGAGGAGAGGCCAGCCTACCTCGACCTCGAGCCGCGCTGGCTCCAAAAGGCGCCCGCCTCCCCCGGCAAACCGTCGCCTCGCAAGCCGTCGCCCAGCAAGCAGGCAGAGGCGCGCGAGGCTCTGGCACTGACCCGCGACCGCGCCCGCGCCGCCGCCGCCGTGGAGAGCCTCCGCACGCTCCAGCCGCCGTGGATGCCGTGGTCGGTCCGAGCGAGCGGGAGGCCAACGCGCGTGCCAAGAGCGCGCTCCATGAGCCGTCGCGGAGCCCTCTTTCTGTAGGTCCGCGAGCGGGAGGCTAAGGAGCGCCGCATCGACGCGGCGACTTCGTCGAGAGACGGCGCAGTCGTGTCCCGCACTTGTCCCCGAACTCGTCGTGCACGCGTCTCCGTAGGCGAGTCGCCGCATCGAGGCGAACTACCGCGTCCAGAGCCGGATCGAAGATAAGGCGGTGCGAGAGCTCTCCGCCTTTCGGGACGGCGTCGCATCGCACCTCTCGGTGCTTGCGTGAAGCAGACTGGAGGGGATATACACAGTAGGACAAATTAAGCACATCATGTCAGCACTAAAAACGATAAAGTTGATTATAACGGAGGCCCGTGCACCATAGAGCTAGAGGAGATCTCATGTGAAGATATACAAAACCGAGTTGCCTGACGCGTGACGGCCCGGCACACCCAGCTGGACGGAGCTCGGAGCAACGGAGGACGCCGTCCTCCGTCCAGGACCAGGTCCTACCACGTACCCCGCGACGCGCGAGGGCCCGAGCCCCGACCCCCGTCAGGCAACTCGGTTTTGTATCTTCACATGAGATATCCTCTCTGGACGCTCCCCCTTGCCCCATGCCCCAAGCCCAACCGACCTGCACTGCTCCAGCCTCCACAGCCAACACCACCCCACCAAGCGCGACCCCAAGCCCAACACGCAAGGTCCAAGCCTCTACGTGTAGCCTCTAGTACGTGGCTCTACGCCTCAAGCATGAAGCCACCACGACCAGCACCACCACCACCGACGTCTACCTGGCAACCTTTCGTGTCTCGTCCCCTCTCGAGTTTTGTGTGTGTGTGGCGAAGTTGTTACGCTCTACCTTATTACCTTTACTTACCTCTATTATTTCGTTTCGATGTAAGTTCGATCGCACATGCACATGACATGCACCAACAACAACACACATGCACAACATGTACATGCGCATGTGCATGTTGTGCATGAATGTGCATGCACATGTAGCATGTGCATGTGCATGTGCATGTTGTTGTCATGTCATGTGCATGTGCATGTGCATGTGCATGTGCATGTGCATGGCATGTGCATGTGCATGTGCATGCACATGATGGTCCGGTTGCCGCCGCGACGAGTCTCCCCACGGCGGGCTCGTATGCCCCGACTCCACTCGCAGAGGCCGAGTCAGCTCGTCTCTCACCTCCTTCGACTCACAGCTGATCGAAATTATAAGGGTCGACTAGGTTTCGAACCGGGGGCCTCCCGCTCGCGGGGCGGCAGCACTCGGCGAAAGAGGCTGGGAGGGAGGAGGGAGCCGGGCGGCGGGCGACCTATTTAGCATACCGGGGGAATTTGACACACACGGACACACACCGGGCCACAAACACAGTCCAAACCGGCCCCGGCGGCCGCCGTGCAGGAGGCCGCCGGGGCGCACCGGAAGTGCCAAGAAAAAGGACGGCACCTCAGAAGGCCATGGGCGCCGAGAGAACATTCCCCCAAGAAGACAAAAATTAAATATTCTTAGCTTCGCCCTTGCCTCCGACGCTTAGAGACAGAACCCAGAGATACATACGTCAAAGGGACTGCCCCCCTCCCCCACCTGCCCTACTTATACAGGATAGCATGCCCCGAGGACGGCGACATTTGGCGGGGGGAACCAGGGAGGGAGGGTCGGTTGTGCTTTTTTTTTTAGCTTCTCGGGGGAATGTTCTCACGGCGACCATGGCCTTTTTCCGAGGTTTCGTGCTGATGACGTCCTTCTTGGCACTTCGGGCGTCGGTGTGTGTGTGTGAATACCCCCGGTAATGTGCTACGGGTATGGGCCGCCGCTTGAACGCTCCCGGTTCAGCCATAATCTATCCAGCCGACGTCGGCTGGGGATCTCTCTGCAATCGAGTGGCCCCCGGTTCGAAATGGCGGGTTGACCCCACTAATTTTTTGTTCACACCTGAGCGGGCTCAATTGTTGCTCTAGGTGCCTCCTACGATTCGAACTCGCGTTCTCAGGCAGATCGCCTGGTGCGTTGTCGTTTTTTGTCATGGGATGCCCCCAAGAAGACAAAGAAAAAAGCCTTCGCACCCCCTCCTTGCGCAGTGTCCCTCATGTGTCGCCGTTATCGGCGCGGGGCACGCTATCCTGTGCAGTCAGGGCAGGGGCGGGGCGCAGTCCCATCTCTCCTGTGTACGGGTGGGTTCTGTCCCGGAGGGGGGCTAAAAGCTAAGAATGTCGACTCACAGCTGAATCCTTCGACGAGCTGAATCCAGCTCCCAGCCTCCCCCCGGGGCCCTCCGGTCCCGGCCTTCCGGCTCGCCGGGATCCGCCGCCCCCTCGCGGCGCTTGCCTTCCCCTCCCCCGGTCCACTCCCCCTGGTACTCCAGCCGCCGACGGGGCGGCGTTGGGTTCCCCAGGGTCCGTGAGGATCCGTGCGGTGACGGCCACGCCGGCGGCGGGGGTGGAGGCGGTGGCGGGGGAGGCGGGCATGGTGGCGGCACGGGCGGTAGTGGTGCCCTCGGGGGTAACCCCTTGACCTACGGCGCCGCGGGCGGCTGCAGGACGTCGAGGTTCCCTCCCTCCTGTAGTATACCCAAGCTGTTTGAGTCCCAACCCTCCGCCTTCAGTGGCAGGACCCCACGGGGATGTCAGGGATACTGCGTAACCCTTCCTAGTGGAGGCGCGCGATTCCGTGACTCTCCGTTATACGCACCAATGTACCCTCGCCGAAGCGCGAAGGTGCATAGGAGTGAATCCGAGTGAAACTAGTGTTGTAGAGATTTCAGGTAGAGCGCCTCTACATCGCTCTACAACGGAGGCTTATCTGGGCGCTTCGTCCCGCGGCGGATGTAGAGCTCTACAGCTCTACAGCGCTCTCTCCAGCTCTACAGCTCTACAGCGCTCTACACTCTATACATCCTCTACACCCTCCCTCAGCGCTCAGGGCCTGCCGTGCACCAGCTCCGAGGGACCGCGCGGTCCGCACCGGCCGCGGCGAGAGTCGCGAACGGCACGCCAGAGGCCCCGCGCGTGCGGTGTTTCGGCTCTCTTCGCGCAAACGGTTGAGGGGGCGGGCGAGGCGGGGCGGGTTAGGCGGCGCGGGGCGGGCGCTCGGGGCGCTCGGTGTGGATGCGCGGCGCGCCCGGCGAGCCAGGCAGGTTTGCAAAGAGATAACATAAAAAAAGAATTCAGATTTTCCACGCTTTGCACCGGCATGCTGGGAGCTGGGTCCAGGCAACGCGAGGAGAGCGACGTTACGCCGAGAGGAGAGAGAAGCGCGAGGGCAAAAGGGAAGGGAAGAGTCGGCGCCGTCGCATCGAGGCCGATGAGAACGATGAGACAGGGGATGGATGGCGCTGCAGGAGAGTGAACAAGGCTAGGGTGGGACGACCGCGAGGTGACATGAAGGTCGCTGCGAGAGTGGGCGAGACGGGGCTGTGCGACGGTCGCGAGAGCTAGGGAGAGGCAGACCTCCAGCAGACCTCGCCCGAGGGCAAACCGTGGGTGGGAGACGGCTCTAGCACCACACACTCCTTTCCCCTGTTTTTGACGACGTTTAGCTTTAAATAATGGGAGAAAAGGGGGGAGGGGCGGGGGTTCTCAGGCCCCTCCCTAAAGGCCCTACGCGCACGAGAGCTCGGAAGCGAGCGAGCTTTGGACGGCGATCGAGGGATGGCGCGGTTCACCCCCTCGTTCACCGAAGCTCTCTCGCCGTGGTTGTAAAATCCATGTGGGGGGGTCTGAGAGGCGGGGCGAGGCGGGGCAGGTGAGGGCCGCAGCGAGGGAGGCGGGGCGGCGGGCGGAGACGGGGGCTCGGTGTGCCCGCCCCAGCGAGTTGCTTAGATCCCCCCTCCCTCTCCACGTCCCTCTCCCGCACCAGGCACAGTGTTCGCTTGGCGGCTCGTGGCGGGGGCGCCAGGCCGTTTCGTTCGTCGTTTCGACACACAGCTATTTTGTGTCGCTGACTCTCTCTCACCACTGTCTACGTAGATAGATCCGCCTCCCCCTCTCGACGCCACTCCATACGTCAAATCCGCATTCTGCGGCCGATTCTGGGTCTCATAAACCTCAAGGTGACTCGGCCAGTCTTGTACTTGCGTTTCGCCACCAAGTAACCGGCCCAAAAGCAGACCAGGAATGCGCCCGCCAAAATCACGCCCACCGCCCATAAAGGAAAGGTCTCAGCGCCGCCGCCGCCATCGGGGGTCGGGCACATCGGAGCTCCCCGACGGGCTCCACCAAAGATGCCGCCAACGTCGCCCGAACCAGAGTCGCCAAAGTCGCCGGAGGGGCAGACGGGGCAAGGCCTATTCGGCGGCGACGGCGGCGGCGGGGGGACCGGCGGCAACGGCGGCGGCAATGGCGGCGGGTAGGAGCATTGTGGAGGGTAGTCCGAGTCGATACATACCGTTGGCAGAGCGGGAAAGGGGCAGGCGTAGTGATTCGTGCCGCCCAGCTCGCAGGCTGACAACTGCAGCTTGTTGAGCTTGTTGAGCTCCTTCGGCACGGAGCCAGAGAGGGCGTTGTGGTCGAGGCCGAGCTCCTTCAGCTGCGAGAGTGCGCCCAGCTCCGAAGGGATGGTCCCCGAGATCTTGTTGTCGTATATGTTGATGTACTCCAGCTGCGAGAGACCGCTGAGCTCCGGCGGTAGCGTGCCAGAGAGGGCATTGATGTGGAGGGCGAGCCTCCGCAGCTGCGAGAGCTTGCCCAGCGCCGGCGGGATGGTCCCAGTCAGCCTCAGATCCACCAGATTCAGCTCGGTGCCCGTGAACGTGCCGGCACACACCGAAGGCTCTGTGCCGCAGATGTCCATCGTCGGCGGTGGCGGCGGGGAGGGTGGCGGGAAGGGTGGGGGTGGGGGTGGGGGGTGTGGCGGCGGCGAGGGTGGAGGCGGCGAGGGCGGAGGCGGCGAGGGTGGAGGAGGGGAGGGTTTCGGGGAGGGTGGCGGCGGAGAGGGTGGTGGCGGCGACGGTGGCGGTGGCGAGGGCGGCGGCGGGGCGGGTGGCGGTGAGGGCGGCGGCGGAGATGGTGGCGGCGGCGAGGGCGGCGGCGGTGCGGGTGGCGGAGAGGGCGGTGGCGGCGAAGGTGGCGGCGGAAAGGGCGGTGGCGAAGGCGGCGGCTTAGGTACCTTACCAGGCGGGTATGGCGGTGGCGAGGGCGGCGGCGGCGACGGCGGCGGCGGCGACGGTGGCGGCGGCGATGGCGGCGGCGGTGGCGGCGAGGGTGGTGGCGGAGGCGGCGACGGCGGCGCCGATGGCGGCGGCGACCGCGGCGGCGGCGATGGCGGAGGAGGCGAGGGCGGTGGAGGCAACGGTGGTGGAGGCGAGGGCGGCAGCGACGGTGGCGGGGGCCAGGGCGGCGGAGGCTAGGTTGGAGGATGCCAGGGCGGCGGGGGCCTAGGCGGTGGAGGCAACGGCGGCCGCGGTGGTGGCGGGGACTAGGGTGGC